CCCGATGTTGGTGTTTTCAGGGATGGAGAGGGTGAGGACGGGCGAGGCAAAGTTGGGAGTGTTGTCATTGATATCGAGCACCTCTATCTGCCCCTCGAGCAGGCGTGGGCTGCTATTCAGGATCAGGTCAGTGATGGACACTTCGAACTCCAGGAAGCAGGGCTCTCCGGGCAAGAGATGCTGGCATTCACGCAAGCTCTCCCGGTCAATGGAGGTCTCTGTTGTGTAGATGTCCCCGGTCTTGCCGTCCACACGTAGGTATGGAGCCCCCACTTCCAGCTTGTAGAGGTGCCCCACGTCTGGGAAGCCATAGTCAGAGGCCAGGCTCCCTATGAGGGTGTTGGGAGGTTGTTCCTCCTGCACTTTGTAGACCACACGTGTCCCAGAGACCAGAGCAGGGAGCTGGAAGAGGAGCCACAGGCCCAGGCAGGATGCCAGTGGTTTCATCCTGCACTGCAGGGGAGCTGCAAGGAGACACAGACACCAGACGTTAGGCAGCCCCAGGACCACTCTGCCCCAGCCAGTTTCCCTGGCATCTCCTTTTGGGTGCACCCCTTGTGCGTGGTGCCAAAGCAGCCCCCAGAGGGAAGGGGCTGGCAGAGCTGTGGTCCCCTGGCAGCCTCCACAAGCAAGTGCCCTGGAGGACTGGTCCTGGCTTGCAAAGTTCCTGCAACGCCCTGCTCGGGTGAGCAACCCCATCATTGAAACCCCAGCCCTGGCTTCCTGTCACTTGCAGGAAGCCACTCCTGCCACTGTCCACCCTCTTCATCACCACACAAACTGTAATTAGACCCAACGAGGCACACTAACAGGGTGGACTGAACGCAGCCCTGCCAGCAACCCGATGGGAGCAGGCCAGGCTTCAAGACAGCTTCTCACCACAGGAACACAGGAGCATTGTGTGCCACGCACTGCAAGGACACTGCCTGCCACGCACGGCAGGGACACAGAGGCACTGCACCCATCTGCCAGCCCTGTGGAAACAAGAGATCCCAAAGGGGAGCAGGGGCTCTGCCGGGATGCAGGGATGCTGCCAATCCGGCACTGCAGGGATGCACGGCTGCCACCCATCCAGCCCTACAGGGACATGGGACACTGCAGGGATGCAGGGGTGCCTCCCATCCATCACTGCAGAGATTCATGGCACTGCTTGCACTGCAGGAATACCACCCATCCATCACTGCAGGAATACCACCCATCCATCACTGCAGGGGCATGGGGCACTGCCACGGCTGGGAAAGAGCAGCACTGCCCTCCCTGCACTGCCAACACAGCAGCACTGCCAGCCTTGCACTGCAAGGTATGAAGCCACCACCCATCCAGCACTGCAGGGATACAGGAGCCCCGAGTATCATCCCTCCTGCACTGCATGCAGGGCACTGCCATCTGCCTGTTGCCCTCGCAGGAAGAGGGGCACTGCCCATCTCTGTATTACAGGGACATGGACTCACTGCCCACGCTGCAGCGCAGACCCCACAGAGCATACCCTGTGCCTCCCTGTGCAGCGGCACTGCACAGCCCCAGCACGCTGCAATGGCAGGCACAGCATCTCCCCTCTGCTGCACAGTCACTAGGCAACCCCACACCCTGCACCAACAAACACTGTTCCTTTTGCTCACTGCAGACACACTGTTCCTTCCCATTCCTCCCACTGCCGACTGGGACGCTGCACGCACATACACTGGGTGCCCACCCCACAGCTGCAGAGGCAGTGGCAGACGTTCTGCCCTCCTGCATTGCAGAGACACACACTGCACACACTGCACCGCAGGCACCCAGCCACTGGAAACCTCCTCCCAGTGTGCACACACTGCAGAGGCACTGCCAGCCCCTTCTGCGCCAAGCCACAGGCCCTGTCACCCAGCCCCTGTCTGGGGCCATGCTTGGCCACCAGTTTTCATGTCCCCCGCTTTTCTCTCTGGGAATCTACCTCCAGGGTCCAGGCGGATGCACACGGCTTCTGCTGAGCCATGAGCATGAAGGGTGCAGCCCAGCTCACCAGCACCCCAAAATCACAGTGGTTTGGTGCCCTAAAATCAGCAGCCAAAAGCATCTGCCATGGCCCCATAGCATCAACCCTCTCATCACCCCCATCGCTTCCTCTTTCCATCGTCTGCACCCAGCCTGTGGGATGGGTGAGCGCTCCCCCACCATCTCCCCTCCATGGTGCCACATAGCAAGTGCCTGATCCCTGGTGACCCTGGCATTGTACAGATCCTCAACAAGTGGAGCATCCTGCACTGTCCACCCTGGTACTTCCCGCAAGCCAGCATCTCTCTGTCCCTCTACCCCTCCTCTTCCCCACGGACAGATACCACATCCCTGTCAGTGTTCAAGGCCAGGTTGGACACAGGGGCTTGGAGCAACCTGCTCTAGTGGAAAGTGTCCCTGCCCACGCAGGGGATTGGAACTGGATGAGCTTTAGGCTCCCTTCCAACCCAAACCAGTCTGGGATTCTGTGATTCTGTGGTAAGTGCCTCGCCAGTGGCATGGAAGAGAGAAGCTCTCCCTCCACAGGTTAAAACACATCTCTGCTTTTGGAGATGAAATTATGGTCCTGAAGCCTAGCTTGACTCTGCTCCCTTGTCCTGCGAGCACCCTTCATGCAGAGAAGAAGTATTGCCACCTTGCTGAGAGCATGCACAACTGTCCAAACCGGCACAGAGCCGTACCTCCCCAGGAGGAAGGGAAGAGGCACAGAGGACTATTCCATTCCCACACAGGGCTGAGCATGGAGGAGGTAAGAAGTTGAGCAGAAACACAACGCCCCTCTGCCTTAACACAGGCAATCCCCAGCAATACGTGTACATGCACATGTGTGTGCACTGCCTGCCTGTACCCGTGTGTGCGCTATGAGCACCTGAGTGCCTGCAGGAAAAGGCATGTGCACTAGCAGGGTGTGCAGGTGTGCCACACGTGTGCATAGAGCACATCTGTGCCCGCACTGGAGCAGCCTGTGCACCAGACACAAGCTTGCACTCCCGCACGTGTGTGTGCATCGAGCAACGCGTGTGCCTGCGTGGGGGGGACCATGTGCGCATGTCCCTGCTGCCACTGGGTGTGCATTCGGGTGATGTCACCCCACATGGGGGTACTTACACCGTGTGTGTGTGTGCACCCCGCCTGGGTCACATACGTGTCTGCACGCACCGTGTGTGTGCGCTCACACCAGATCCCTACAGTTGCCTTCACAGGCTGGCTGAACCAACACTGAGCTTCATCACCCCAGTGCCCTGCACTACCTTTGGACATGGGGAACAGTGAGGATGTGGAGAAGGGGAAGACGGGCAGCCCCAGATGCTGGGAAGAGGGTCCCGAAGGACACCCCATCCGGGAGCAGCACCCGTGCCCCTCTCTGGACTGTTTGCACAAGCCTGTTTGCACTAGGCTGGGCCATGACTGACAATGACGTTAGCGCCATCCTGACTAAGCCTTGGTATGAGGTGGAAGATCGCAGGTAAACGTAAAAGTTCCCGACCCGGTGCGATGCCTCACACAGCCCTGACTGAGAGCCGGGAACTGGGAACGCCTGTGCTAGCCTTGGAGAGGGAAGGGAGTCACCCAAAGGTGCCCAGCACCTGTGCTTTCTGCTCCAAAATAGGGGCTGGAGCCTGAACCTGAGCCCCATTCCCACAGGTGAAGTAAACCTCCAGGAGGCTGGAGGAAGAGAGGGGCTGGGGACCCGAGCGGGACCATCGCCCCACAGGGGGCCCGGGTTCACTGGGTGAGGAATGCTGCTCGGCGCCTAAGGGTGCGAATGACACAGCGCAGACGTGAGAGCCCAGAGCTGGGCGTGAGGAGGAGGAGGAGGAAGGCTCCACCACCGGGAAAAAGCACGTCTGTGCAGGAGACAGAGGCTTCCCAGGGGCTGGTCCAAGGCATAGGGCTATTTTCCCATGGGATCTAAGGACCATCCCACACTTTCTTCTCTGGTGCCAGGCACCTTTTTTCTGGCCTGCTGGCAGAGCACGGAGCACTTAAAACTCAAAACCCCTCCCAAAACAACTATTCCTCCACACACACAATTCTCCCTACGGGGAGAGTGTGAGAGAGACTGAACCACATGAGAGAGGCGTTAGTCACGCTGCTTAATGCATGACTGGGAAGCTCTCAGAGGACAGTGGCATGCAAAATCCTACAGAATTCAGCCATCCACCCCCCAAAAAAACCCCAAGTTCTAATGAGAGAGAGGTTATAAGGCGCCGAGAATTGAAGCAACTGCTTGGACAAGCCTGTGCTCCCTGCGATTCCCACAGCCCCTTGGCCCCGTTCCACAGAAGGCAGCACCGCTCCGGGAACGGGCACCAAAGTCCACCCTCTCACT